GCTCCCTATCTAAATCTTTTTTTTTTTTTTTTCGGTACGCGGGCCTCTCACTATTGTGGCCTCTCCCATGGCTCACGGGCCCAGCCGCTCCGCGGCATGTGGGATCCTCCCGGACCAGGGCACGAACCCGTGTCCCCTGCATCGGCAGGTGGACTCTCAACCCCTGCGCCACCAGGGAAGCCCTCTAAATCTTAAATAAGTAGAGTTTACACATGTTCCTAAAACCTGAGCTCTCTGAAACACCAAGACCCTCTTTCCAAATAACACCAAAATTTGGCCACAGGATGTACACACTATCATCTATATTAGTCCCTAAATCAAAAAAAAAAAAAAAAAAAAAAAACCAGTAGGAAGCATTCCTTGCCAAATAAAACCAACTTGAAAATTTTTTTAATATTTAAGAAAATAAAACTACTAATACAGCACAGTTTGAAAAGCATGCTGTATTTTATTTCATTTGAAGTATTCATAATTTCATATTCATATGAAGTATTTAAAAGAATTACTCCCAAAGAATAAAAAGTATTTATTTTTCCAGGCACTTAACTAGAATCCACAATCACTGTCTTTTTATATTTTCCCATAATAATTTATATTTATTTACAAAAGCAATATAAAACTCAAATTTGTAGTATAACAGTATACTCCAGGTATAAGTTATAATAAATGTATTCCATTTACATAAGAAATTATATAAAATATACAATAAAAACCTCATTTCCCATTCAAATAAGTTAACTAGAATGTTTAAATCAACAAAATAATTTAGTAATTTAGTAAAATAATTTAGGAAAAAAACCCCAAACCCCACTTTCTTGTACATATGTATTCATTGTGTGTGTGTTGGGGGGGATTGTTGAATGGGAAATAAATGTTGATCACTTACAGATCTTCACTCTCTCCCCACCCTGGGTTATGTCATCCAGGCCTGTGACGAATTACAAGCTGATGATACTACTTATACACTAATGATATGATCACTTAGATAACTAATAAACTTATCAAACTTCATATGTCCAAAACAAAAGTCAATTCCTCCCCAAACCTACTCCTAACTACAGTAAGTCTAAATGGCATCAATATTCACCCAGCTCTCACTGCAAAAAAACAGGAGCCATCTTTTATTTCTCTCTTCCCTTCATCCAATCTATCAATAAATCCTGTTGATTCTATTTCCAAAATGTATCCATTTTTTTCTTCCACCTCCACTGCCAGGCCAGTGCGCCCTGCAACAGCCTTCTAACTGATTTCCCTGCTTCTGTTCTTGTCTTCTCAGAGTCCATTTCCCCCTCAGCAGTCAGTGTAAATTAGATCATGTCACTTCCCTACTTAAAACCCTGTTTAGAATAAAAACCAGATTCTCTACCATGACCTACAAGGCTTTTCATGTTCTGACCCTTGCCTACCTCTCCATCCTCATCCCACATCACTCTTTGACTTTCTCACTCTCTCCAAGCCACTGTGCTTCCCCAAATACAACAACCTCGTTCCTCACTTAGAAGCTGTGCATTTGCCATTCCTTCTGCCTAGAACCCCTGGCTCCCTGAGGGTATTTACATGCCTGTCTTTCTTGCATTCAAATGTCACCCCCTTAGAAAGGCCTTTCTAAGGTAGCCACCATCTTTCCAATACTCTACAAATCGTCCTTCTTAGTTTTCTACATACCACCTATCACAATCTAAAATTATCTTATTTTGTTTATTGCTTCCCCATCCCAAATATAAGCTCTTTAACGGGCAGAGACTTATCTATCTTGTTTATTATTCTTGCCAATGCCTAGAACATACCAACATTTATCACATCAAAGTATTTGTTGGCGCAGTGGTTAAGAATCTGCCTGCCAATGCCGGGGACACAGGTTCGAGCCCTGGTCCGGGAAGATTCCACATGCTGCGGAGCAAGTAAGCCCGTGCACCACAACTGAGCCTGCACTCTAGAGCCCGCGAGCCGCAACTACTGAGCCCACGTGCCACAACTACTGAAGCCCGCGCGCCTAGAGCCCGTGCTCCGCAACAAGAGAAGCCACCGCAATGAGAAGCCTGCACACCGCAACAAAGAGTAGCCCCCGCTAGCCACAAATAGAGAAAGCCCGCACGTGGCAACAAAGACCCAACACAGCCAAAACTAAATAAATAAATAAAGTAATTTATAAACAATTGTTGAACAAACAACTTCATAAACATCACTGAAGCAGTACAGATATTATATTGATTTTTATTAGCTTATTATAGTTTAAATTATATTAGTTTATTATAAATTATTAGTTTATTCTAAATAAAAGGGCTTTAACTGTATTCCAACAGAATTTTTAAAAAAAGGTCTTAAGATTACATGAGCACAAAGGACAGTGAAACACCACTGTGCTAAATCCTAGTCATTTAAGACAGGAATAAAGTAAAACATATGCAGGCTATTGCCGTTGCCCATCATACATCCAGGACCTTCTTTCCACCCAAGAGATCCCAGATAGGTCCCCCTTCCCTATTTGGAAGAGATGCATTTAGAAGACACCACCATATTCTGTCCAAAGGGAGAAAGAGAAAGTGAGCAAACATCTTTCAGGATCAAACCCCCCGGCAAGACCAGAAAGGGGGCTTTCGCAGCTCCTTCCACAAGCTCTTTGCAAACAAGTCCAGTGGATCAGAACACAGGGAATAAAACCAATGAGAATACTTCAATGGATCTTTAACCAACAAAAAATTTCTTCAGAAACTGACTTGCTCTTGCAAATGAACCTGACGAAGGAATAGCTGTGTAAAACATACTTAAGGTTGTACTGTCAAGTGTAAGATGAAGATAAAAAGGTGGTATTTATCTATGTGGGAGTATGTGTGTGTGTGTGTTTTATATTCTCTCTCTCTCTCTTTCGCTCTCTCTCTCTCCATATCCCTGAGGAACAGTAATACAAATACTTACATATGATACTAAATCAACATATAAGACATTAAAGAGATGAAGATTACTTTGGGTTGAGAGCTGGCTTTTTGAAGCTCAGCACTTGGGAAAAGGGAACCGAAGACTTTCTGCAGCATTACAGAAAAACACATAAATTTGGAGGAAAATAACATTTGTAAGGTCAACAACAACAAAAGAAAACCACACATAGTAATTTTTGTGGCTTGATTAGGGAGAGGGAATGGGATTCATTATAGAAAAGTTATATTAAAGAATAAAAAAATAATAAAAAGCACTCGGAAAAAAGGCCACTGAACCAAATGCAGAAAGGGAAAGTCGAATCAGTGGCTATACCAATGAATTTAATCTGGTACTTTTATATGTGCTCTTTAGAGTTTTCTCTCTTATAAAGAATAAAAAGAACCTTGTTTTTTATATTATTTGCAATACATAGGTGCCACCAGTCATAACTAATGAATAGTTCCATTTTAAGGCCTTAAATAGTGCTAAATATATGGTTAAAAAAACTTGTGCTGGGCTTCCCTGGTGGCGCAGTGGTTGAGAGTCCGCCTGCCGATGCAGGGGACACGGGTTCGTGGCCCGGTCCGGGAAGATCCCACATGCCGTGGAGCGGCTAGGCTCGTGAACCATGGCCGCTGAGCCTGTGCATCCGGAGCCTGTGCTCCGCAATGGGAGAGGCCACAGCAGTGAGAGGCCCGCGTACTGCAAAAAAAAAAAAAAAAAAAAAAACTTGTGCTGCTGCCCTTTCCAAGGAGATACATGAAGAAAAACCAGTATGAGCCAGAATTTCCATTAGAGAGAAAAGACCATCTCGCCATATATGTCTATATGATATAGCAGTTCCTTAGACATGATTTTATCTGTTCAAAACAGTTAAGATGTGAGAAGTAAACTACAAAGGCCACCAAGGAACTAAAGCAGAGCTAGTGTCAATGCAAGAAAACACACATTCTTTTGTACAGTCCCAAGGTCCTCACTCAGAACCTATTCACTTTTATTTTAGACTGAATTCTAACACATCTGGCCAAGTAGTTTCTCAGTGCACAGCAAATCAGAGAAAGCAACTAGAAACTGGAGAAACAGAAAACTATTGTATTGAAAGCAGACGACCTAACAGGAGAAAAGAGATGAAAACACAATTGACAAAAGCAATTCCAAAATCTCAGAATCAAAAGTAAATTTTAAAAAGCACTGATGCCAAGGTTTTATCTAAAATAGTAACTATCTTACAGAACTCAACAGCCTCTGAGATTACGTGTCTTGTTCAAATAACGACCCTAAAGTGATAGTTTTCAATCCTGGAGTTTCTGACTTAGTAGGCAATTACAGTTTACTCAACAGACCACAGGTGATTCTGATGCACACCAAGAACTGAGAACCACTGTCCTAATAGTCTAAGGAAAGGTTATATTACACTTGATGTCTTATTTAAGAAAAAAGTGAGATGTAATGTAGAACATGATAGAGTAACGCTGATGTATGTTATATATGAAAGTTATTAAGAGTAAATCCTAAGAGTTCTCATCACAGGAAAAACATTTTTATTTTTTATTTCTTTAATTTTATACCTATATGAGATGGTAGATGTTCACTAAACTTACTGTGATAGTCACTTCATGACGTATGTAAATCAAGTCATTATGCTGTATACCTTAAACTTACACAGTGCTGTGTGTCAATTATATCTCAATAAGGCTGGAAGGAAAAAAACGAAGTGAGAATTTACTATGACCTTTAAATGTGTTCAATGAAACTTGTTTTTAAAAAGTTTGTGTATTTGGGGGTAATGGGGAGTATTAACTTTGGCAAAACACTTCATCTCCCAAAAGGAGGGAGGGGGCTAAATGGCATACTGCCAACAGACAGTCTACTCACAGAATAGTATCTTTTGAAACCACACAAATAAAAATAAGTTTATGTAATGATGAATGAAGCAGAATACTCAACGTGGAATGAAATAACGGTAGAAACTCAACAAAGTTAAAGTTATATGAAGAAAAACATCTCATTAGATAGAGTCTGGGTACCAAACCCCTCTCTATAGAGTAGCATCTCCTAAACAAAACAGTTAAACTTATACTCACCTTTCTGAAAAATCAGAGTCTATAAATTCTCTAGCCCGTTTTCTATCACTGAAAAGAAAAAAAGATACCATAAAGAGAACATGCATAAAGAACTTTATTTCATGAATAATTTATTGTAACTTGTCTAATTCCACATTGAAAATATCCAAACACAAAAGTAACAAATATAAAAGATATGTACATGAAATAAAAACTTAAATTTTATCACCGGACAAAGAAATCGCAACATGATAGCCATAGTTTGAAATGAACTCAATGAATCTTTAGGGAGGAAAATACTGCAGATTTATAGAGGAGAAGGCATAGAAAAGTTTTATTTGCTCTGGGAGAAATGACTATAAAAACATTAGATAATCATACTACCCCCAGCATAAATCACAGCTGGTGCTGAAAATAGCCAAACTCTGGTCATCTCCAAAGTAGGCCAACACTACTGGCACAGCCTTGGCTTTCATTAAATTATCTCTCAAGGCTATGAAAAAATCCAAGATTTTTAGATCTTAGATCTACATGAGAAATGTTGGTAACCACTGAATAAAGGCAAAGGAATTACAGGTGACTCTGTCACTTCATCTTATTTGATAATGGAAAAGACATTAGGTATACACATGAAACTCTTCTGTCTCTGTCTGTGTGTATGGCTTAAAGCACTTTGCCAGGATTGTTATTTCGTTCATTTCTTTAATATCCTTGAAGCAAGGAGATTCTTACTCAACTAAGATTTACTGCCTGTTTGCTAGAACTCACAACTGTAAGTCAATGATAGAACCACCAGTGTGGCATGCCACCTTGGAAATAACTTCTAAAGTGACAAACTAAAATTGAATCATTTATTTTACTACTACTTTTCTTTTATGGAAGGATGAGATGCTAAAATGATAAGGAGTGGAGAAATGTTGAATAAAGGTATTTTACAGGTAAAGAAACATAGAAATTTGATACTAAAAGTGGCAAATGAGTAACAAAGAAGGGATACTGATTTAATTGCTCAGTGTTTAAAGGAACAAAGATAAAACTCAATGAAAGTTTTAACATATCTGGCCTCTTTTTCCTAGTTCCTTTTCTGGTTTTAAAGGAAATAAACATGCTGGTTTTAAGGGGAAATTCTGAGTACACACACACGTATATACAAAACTCCTTTGTAATGTTTGTTAAAACAATATAAAATGCAGTTTTCACATCTCCAAAGTGGCTAAATGTCACAATCATAAAAAGTAGTCTTCTTTCAGAGTTGAAGAAAGAAGATTCAGTTACAAGTTATTGTTCTATTTTTCTGTTCAAAAATGGTTGCTCCAGGGATTTCCCTGGTGGTCCAGTGGTTAGGTCTCCACGCTTCCACTGCAGGGGGCACAGGCTCAATCCCTGGTTGGGGAAGTAAGATCCTGCATGCTGTGGTGGTACAGCCTAATTAATTAATTAATAAAATAAAATAAAAAATAAAAATGGTTGCTCCAGAGCTGATTTATATCTAGGATATAAAGTGAAATAAAATAGGTGATTTTAAAGGAAACATATTAGTTTTTAAGAACATAAAACAAGAACAGAAGACAAGATAGTGAGAAAAAAAGATCAGAACTTAAAAAAAAAAAGTTTTTAAAAATGGTAATTTGCAGTACCACTCTTACCCAGGGACCCAGCCAGTAGCTTCTGCTATGTGTGTCTGAGTAACCATTGCTGGTGCAGGGGTATATGGACTCCCAATCAGAACACTTCCTGAACTGGTTAGTCTCTGTGGTGTACTTATAATCTGTAAAGTCAGGACAAAGAAAAAAATATTCTTAGTTATGAAGGAAAACCTACAGGCAGAAAATAATGCTGAATGCTAACCTATACACAAGGAGTAAACCTTACTGCCTAAAATGTACTTAATATCAATCATCTAAATATAAGCAATACCTCTGATACATTTATATTCTAAGATCTTAAAGCACAAGTATCCTGAATACTGATATGAAGTCACAATGTAGATTTCAGCAAGTGAACAGCAATTGGGAGGGATTAAGTTGGCAACTGACAACATTTTAAAAATCAGAAAAATGAAAAGCTTTCTTTGAAATTATGGAAACTAATTTCAGTTGAACTCTATTTACTAGAACTGGGGTAACAGCAAATTAATTCTTCACAGTCCAAAACATATACAAAGACATAATACAATTTGGATTCTTATACAGATACAATTTTACCTGTTTTTTTCAAGAGCATTTCCTCATGTCATTAAATATTCTTCAAAGACATTTTAAAGACCATAAAACACTCTGTCATGTGGATTATCTCCTATTATTAGATTTTTATGAATATTCAAATATTAAATATTATAAATAATGCTGTGATAAACATTTCTATAAAATGATATTGGCTTTAATTTCTATTTCCTACGGATAGACTCCAGAAAGGGAATTAATGGAACTAAGGATATGGACTTTTTTTAAAACATGTATTTATTTTGGGACTTCCTTTCTATTTCCTACGGATAGACTCCAGAAAGGGAATTAATGGAACTAAGGATATGGACTTTTTTTAAAACATGTATTTATTTTGGGGACTTCCTTGGTGGCGCAGTGGTTAAGAATCTGCCTGCCAATGCAGGGGACATGGGTTCGAGCCCTAGTCCGGGAAGATCCCACATACCACGGAGCAACTAAGCCCGTGTGCCACAGCTACTGAGCCTGCGCTCTAGAGCCCGTGCTCCACAACAAGAGAAGCCACGGCAATGAGAAGCACGCACACTGCAATGAAGAGTAGCCCCAGCTTGCCGCAACTAGAGAAAGCCCGTGCGTAGCAATGAAGACCCAACACAACCAAAAATAAATACTTATTTTATTGTTTTTATATATTTTTTGTTTTCTATTTTATTGATTTTCACTTTTTATTATTTGTTTATTTGGGGTTTAATTTGCTCTTTTTAAAAATATTTATTTATTTATTTTTGGCTGCGTTGGGTCTTCATTGCTGCGTGCAGGCTTTCTCTAGTCGCAGTGAGAGGGGGCTACTCTTCCTTGCTGTGTACAGGCTTCTCTTGTTGTGAAGCACAGGCTCTAGGCACACGGGCTTCAGTAGTTGTGGTGCGCGGGCTCTGGAGCGCAGGCTCAGTAGTTGTGGTGCATGGGCTTAGCTGCTCATGGCATGTGGGATCGTCCCGGACCAGGGATCGAACCTGTGTCCCCTGCATTGGCAGGCAGATTCTTGACCACTGCACCACCAGGGAAGTCCAAAGATATGGACTTGTAAAAAACGTTTCTTGATCTGTGTTGCCAAATTGCTTTCCAGGTCTTATAGTTTTCGTTGGTGAAAATAATTTGGCACCCTAGTAATATCTTTAAGTATTTTCGTAAATAAATAAGTAAGTAAGTAAATAAATAAATAAATAAATAGAATAAAGGCATGCTCCAGGGAATGGGGGTATTAATGGGGCTAGGGAGATGTTACTACATACAAATGCTTAGGAAATGCTTTTAATATGTTAATTCTACAGTTCAAAAAAAACAAAACACAACAAATACTGACAGATGTCTGGAGAATTCTGATTCTCATAATACGCCAAGGATTATTAAAGAGGGCATTCAGAAGTCTGCCTCATGAGAAAATATGAACACTAGACAAGGTGTTTGTACCTCCTAGCCCTGCACATATTCCACACCACCTCCTCACTTCCATTTCAATGCACGATCTTTAAAGGTAGAGAGTGTCTGCGGGGCCTACCATAGTGCTAGGGGACTCTCATAGGAAAGAATCAATAAATATTTATTGAACTGAGACAGAAGACCCAGCTCTTAAAATGATGGAAAATAGTAGCTTCTTTGTTCATTGATATGCTAGAAAGGATTATATAAAATCCTGTAAGAAAAGGGCATAGTTCTCACCAATCACTGCACCACACACTCAGATGTTCTCTATCATGCTGACCCTGAGTGTGAGAGCTTGAGAGGGAAATTTTGAGCGTTTGATCAGTCTCTGGTCTACTCTATTCCTAGAACAGGAGTCTCCAGAAAGCAACTTATCTAAGCATTCTGATTTACCCGTGAAACAGACTGCATTACTTGTGCAGTATTATTACTAAGGAGTTTTTTATTTATCTGTTATTAGGACCCTACAGACTTGGTTTTACCTGATTTAAAGGGCTTTGTAGGGGAAAAAAAAAAAAAAAAAAACAGAGAAAAAAGGATAGGGACGGGTCCTGCACCAGTGGGAGGGAGCCGTGGCTTTGGAGGGAAAAAAAAAAAAAGAAGACGAAGAAAGGAGGAAGGGAAATAGGACATAGAGAAAAGCTGGTTATCTTTATTGAGAATGACTTTGGAAATAAATTATGTTCTACTTTATTTTTCTTCCTTAATGTCAGATTGTCAGCTGCTATTCTTTCCTGATCCGAGAGTGATGAGCAATACTCTGTTCCTTTCTCTTAGCACAGGGCCTGGAAAGTCCTTAACAAACATTTCATGAACGAATAAACTGGTGGGATGCTCGACTTGAACTAGAACCACAAGTTAGAAATCCTTATGAGACGCAATGAGTTCTTAAACTAGGGCAGTGACAGTGACTGAGCCTTAAGAAACAAAACCAAAGGGAAGTCAACAAACACAGGAAAATTAGTTCATATAGGTGACAAGTCACATATGCTCTATAAAACTGAACCTTAATTTTGAAATCCCCAATTAAAATAGTATTCAGTTAATCTGATAAGGAAAATGAACATTTATTTTAAATTTAAGTCTTCCCCACCTCCCCACAAAAAAAACCAGACATCCTTAACTTAAATGTAATCATGTGGTTTCTTTGACAATAGATTACAGTTAGCCGTAAATCAAATAGCAACTGAACTTCATTCTGAAGATTTTCTACCTTCAATCAAGATACCTTATGTACTACTGCCATCTACAGTAAGAAAAGCCAAGAGAGCATCTATACTCTGAAAAGAAAGAATCTATATAACTATAAAGTGTTATATTAAAGATTTCATTATTTGACAAAATTTTCATTTTCACTGTAAGAAACAAGCAATTTTTAACCATGTTAAAATAATCATGAGATTATTCTTATATAAAAAAACAGATACCTTTTTTTTTCTTTTTAAACTTTTTATTTTGTATTGGAGTAAAGCTGATTAACAATGTTGTGATAGTTTCAGGTGCACAGCAAAGGGACTCAGCCATGCATATACATGTACCCATTCTCCCCCAAACTCCCCTCCCATAAAACCAGATACCTTTAAGAAAAGAGCAAGTATCCCAAAGTGAAACAGTTACTGCTAAACTAGTTTCTAGAAACACAGAAAACAACTTTTTCTTGAGGCCTTTTGAAATTTCTATCTACCATTAAGATTTGGCTTCCAAAGGGACATGTAAAATTTAAAGGGCAAGTAGAGAAGGAAACAGGTGAGGTTTCATTTAAGAATTTTCTAACAAAAATTTTTTTTTAAATCATGGATGAGAGATTGAATGTGAGGGAACAACATTCAAAAGAGACAAGCAAGAGGAGAGAGAGTGGCTCTCGCTGGGGTTCCACGATATATTAGGAAATCAAAAAGAAAACTCTGATTCCTGCCTAGGGACTAAAAACTACAAAAAGCACCTCAGAATTCGAAAGACAAATGAAGGTCTTGGGGCTGGCCTGTTTCAAAGGAGAGGCTGAAATCTCCTCTCTGTCTGACCTTTGCTTTGCTGATTCTGAGGTTTGCAGTAATTGGGTACGTCCTATACAGGACTACTTATCACTGTCAGAACTGAAGTGTGTAAAGGCTTACATGTACATTGGTTTAAACTGACAATGGGAAGAACAATTATGTTTCTAAAAGAGGAATTCAAATTTGAGCCATAGCAGCATCACTGAAATACCAAGAGGAAACAGTCTTTCAAAATAGAGGAGTACTGTAAGAGTCAAAGTCAAGAAAGTTCACATCTGTTTGTTTAATTTTGATGTTTATATAATCACATTTCAAAATACCTGACTTTCAAGTCAGGTGTATAATCTCATTTGCACCTCCTTTAGTGGCTGGGGAGGGGCAAATGTTTAGCAAATGTTTGAAAATATACCCTGAACTACCTTGAAATGCAGATATTCACCTGAGCTTAAGTTTCTAAGAGGCTTGGAGCTAGATTACATTCTTCTCATAGTTACAGTATTGTGCAACATCTTTAGCTCGGATTCTGCAGATGATTAACAGTCCTCAAGGGATCAAGAAAAATGTTGTGTCTAGAATGGCTTAAGATCTCAAAGACTTTCTGAAGCCATTCAGAATGTTAAAAGATTTTTGTCTAAATAATTGTGCATTTAACATAGTCCACAGTACCGTACATTACAAACAAAATTTATACTTATTGCTTTATATAAGAAGATGTAAACACTGACAATGAAGAGTTACTGTTCAAACGTTTACATACTTTTGCTAATGGTGGGTGAGGCCATTTAAATTAGGTATAGTTTTTCGATTAGCTGCATGCAACTCTGTTTATAAATAAGGCTTTCTTAAAAGTGCTATATACTTTAAGCTCTAGCATAATTAATGGAATACCTTCAGAGAAACAGTTAAATACTTTCCATTTTAATTCATTATTTCTACTGCTAAAGATTAAAATGAACTGGTGAGTTGTTTCTTCCTAAATGTCCTTTCATCAAAGAGTTTCAAATTAGTAGCTCCAAATATAGATTAACTGTTGGGTCATACTCAATTTATATGATATTCAATTTATATGAGATTACACGGTTTAGTGCAGTAAAGGCTATTTTACAAGAAAAAGAAAAAGGAGAACATAAAACGTAACAGATTTCAAATCAATTTAATCGAACAACTGAAAACAAGAGAAGCCTCATACAGGGAGCAAAAACCTTAATATTAACACATTCAGAATCCACAGATTCAAGTACGTGAAAATTGAACACTGAAGAGTATAATGCCTTTCTTTTTCGTAAGACTAATCAGTTGCATTCAGGTAAAAACAAAACTTTAAAAAATAATTGACTGAGATAAGAAATGAACTGGAATATCTGACCGAGCGTCTTTGGTACAACTATCCTTTAAATAAGTCTTGCCTAAGCAAAGTTTCAAGTCCTAAGATATGATGATTTTCTTACCATTTGGGGTCCAACATTCACATTTATTGGTCCTAAGGTTTTTGGTAAAATCTTTGTTGGTGAGTTGGTGCTGGAAACTGGAAATGCAACAAATGAAATGTTACCTGAAATTATATCAAAACACTCGGTTAATGTTCTGCAATATCAAGGCCACCTTCTACCTATCTATGCATCCATGGTCCTAACCAGCTGTGCTTAAGTAACTTATAATTATCTTAATAAGGAAGTTAAGACCAAAAAGCCATACTGAAAAGCCAACCAACTATTGCTTTGTTGTAGTGAGGACAATTAATTCTGCACAACAGCACACCTGTAAAATAAATAGTTCAGTCTATCTGACAACTACCGGGCACTGGTTTTTTAGAGGAAAAGTTGGCTTTTTAGAGGAAAGTTGGTTTATCTGACAACTACTGGACATTAAGTTGGTTTTTTAGAGGAAAAAACATTTTGAGAGTTCATAATGCACATCACAGTTTATATCAGAGTTGAGAATTCCAGTTAGATCTTTATTAGAAATCACAGAACAAAAATAAATGCATGAAGTATAACATTAAATAAAATAAGTATCTATTAGAATTTCTTTACAGTATAACATTTTATACTAAAAGCTAACATGTTTTCAAAATGTTGAGTTGGCAGTGTTCTGAGATTTTATCACAGCGGAGAAATAAATGATGCCACCTAGTTACTGATGGTGGAAACTATGAGATCTGTATAGTGTTTTCAAGTGATTTCAACAATTTAAATTTCAAATTAAGGTAGCAAAATGCCTTCCCCCCAAATGAAAAGCCAACCAATAATTTTCTGAACTACCATGTCAACTACTTAACTTCTCTGGACAAACTTCAGTTTACCAATGTTTCTCTTAGAAGATAAGAGTGTAATCCAACATAACAAAGGAGGTCACACAGGAAGTACGTCAAGGAGGGTCAATATTGAAACTCTGGGGAAAAAACAACATTTAAGAGCAGGACCAGAAAGGCACCTCCTTCTCACTCTCCCTCTCCCTCCCCCTTCCTGAGCTCCCCCAAAGCTTGCCCAACTCCTGAATGCCCTTCTCTTATCTCCTAACTCTCAGTAGGTCTCCTGCAGTAAGGAACTCAGGCCACCAGGCTCCTCTTCCTCAACCTGGGAACTTACCGGAACCCTCACATATTTTTATTTCTCTCTGAGTGGAAGATTCTCATATAAATTACTTCTTTCATGTCTGCTCTGCACTTCCTGTCTTCTCAGGAAACTCACTCATCAATTATTGACTCTGTCTTCTGAGTTTTCAACTATACCACCGGTTCCTTCCCTCAGCTTCTCTCTCTGCCCATCTGCCTTGTATTATTTCCCCTCAAATTCTACATTTCAAAATCAAATTCTTTATCTTTCTCATGCCCACTCAGCAAGGCCCAGTACCCAAATCTGCTTCTCCTTGAAACCATCAACCCCTCCTTATTCAACCAACTACCACATCCTACTTGTTACCTTCTTACCCTGGTTCCTTTATATCGCCGGTGCTTGTTTAATTTGGAACTTTATCAAATCTGGTTTGAAAACAGTTACTCTCTAATCCAGAGGTTCACAACCCTGGCTGTGCAATGGAATTATCTAGGAAGCAATAAAAAATGCCAGTGTCTGGGTCTTACCCCCAGAGCTCCCATCAGATTAAATACTTTACAGTTCCAGAAAGGCCCCAGATCAACCACTCCAGCTTTGATGCACACTCTTCCTTCTGCTGGGAAGTCTCTCTCTACTGGGACAAGGCCTACCTTCCAGCACTTCAAAATGGTACTCCTTACCATTTTCTGAGAAATCACCATGTGCCGGAGTCTGCTCTAGAGGCTTCCCATATATACATCATCTCATTAATGCTTAGGAGAACAGTGAGACATATATTATTGATGACTCCTTTTTACACATGAAATTAACACAGAGTGAGGTTAAACAGTCTGTACAAGGTCCCACAGGCAGTAAAGGGCCATAGCTCCACCTCCGAAGCTTCTGCTCTGTGTGTCACCTCCCCGTTATTACGCATCTCCAGCCTCTAGGGTCTAGGTCTTGGATGCCCTTCTTCTGGCTTTTCATAAAACCTATTATTATTTACTTGTAATTCTACTATAAGTAGGCTATGTTGTCAGCTTTGTATCCTAGCACCTGGTTTAGTTCCTGGCACCAAAGAGGTACAGGAAACAATAAAAACTGTTTGATTTGCACAGATTGGAGCTATTACCTTTCCTAATCTGGATGCCATACTTCCTGTAATGTAGCCTTAATTGTATCTTTTGTTACTTTTGAACAGGTGAAATAAATTTAAACACCAGATCCTTTGTTTATTGTTTTTAAACATGACTGACCAACTGGTATTAGCAAATAGTTTCCCTACTCTGTAACTGTGCAACTGACCTTTTATACAACATGCCTATACGTTATCAAATACGGTTTGATATTTTATATTTATAACCCAAATATGGTTATTCACCTGTTTAAGAATTCACTTAACTGGAGAATACTAATCTTTAATTCCAGAGGGAGGAACAGGTCTGTAATTGATAGACATGTGCCATATACTCAGTCCTAGACAGGAGAGGAAACACCACCCATCCATGTGAGGAAGAACCCAGCCATGATAAAGTCTGGCTCTCAGATGGTGTTTTAAAATGACCTTAAGGCTGCTGAATATTTAAGATGAGATCATCTGTGATACACCGTATTAGAAACAAAAGCCAAAAACTTACAAAAAAACAGTGAAGCAAAAAACATACAAAAAAAAAAAAAAGATAATTAAGGTTAGGGGATGACCCTAAATTGAAACTTAACAGTAAAGACAAACTAAGAATATAAAACTTAGGTCAAAAACAAAAAGAAGGGGGACTTCCCTGGGTGGAACAGGGGTTAAGAATCCGCCTGCCAATGCAGGGGACACGGGTTCGAGCCCTGGTCTGGGGAGATCCCAAATGCCGCAGAGCAACTAAGTCCTTGTGACACAGCTACTGAGCTTGCACTCTAGAGCCCACGCTTCACAACAAGAGAAGCCACCGCAATGAGAAGCCCGTGCACTGCAACAAAGAGTAGCCCCTGCTCGCCACAACTAGAGAAAGCCTGCGCACAGCAACGAAGACCCAATGCAGCCATAAATAAATAAATAAATAAATTAATTAATTAATTTAAAAAAATTAAATTAAATTAAAAAAAAAAGAAAGGGCTTCCCTGGTGGTGCAGTAGTTAAGAATCCGCCTGCCAATGCAGGGGACACGGGTTCGAGCCCTGGTCCAGGAAGGTCCCACATGCCACGGAGCAACTTGGCCCGTGCACCACAACTACTGAAGCTTGTGTGCTCCAGAGCCCGCGTGCTCCAACTGCTGAGCCCGAGTACTGCCCGTGCTCTGCAACAAGAGAAGCCACCACAATGACAAGCCTGCTCACTGCAGTGAAGAGTAGCCCCCGCTCGCCACAACTAGAGAAAGCCTGCGTGCAGCAACGAAGACCCAACGCAGCCAAAAATAAATAAATAAATAAATTTAAATCTTAAAAAAAAAACCCAGAAAAACCTCGTTAAAGCCAGATCTGTCATGGCAGTTAATATCAAAGAATTTAGATGGAACTTAATAAACCTAACAAATTGATTCTAAAGTGTTTCTGGAAGAGTAAAGACAGAGAACAGCCAAGAAAATTTTGAAAAAAGGAATAATGGGGAAGAGAGGAACTGTAGCCTCGCAGATTTCAGAATTATTACATAGCTAAAGGGACTGAAATCATGTGACACTGGCTAAGATGCAGACAAAGAAATTGACAAAACAGAAGTTGAAGTCCAAAATTTACTTCATTTATACATGAAAATTTTATATATGGTAAATAGCTTTTCAAATGAATGGAGAAAGGGTAGATTACTTAAGAAATGTTGTTGAGGCAAGAAACTGTCCACTTGGATAAAAGAAATCTTAGATTTCTCATCTTGCACAAAAATAAATCCCAGAAAGACAAAATGCTTAAATATAAAAATTAAACATTCCAAGCATGTTACAGAATTCAGAAATCTTAAGTGAAAACAGACTGACAGATTTGACTACCTAAAAATAAATATTTTCTAAATAGCAAAAGACCCAATACACTTTAGACAAATCTCAGACTTGGTAAACAAATTTGCACAGGAATAGATGCTTAATTTTAAAAAGAAAAAATTCACACACACAAAAAGAAACTTTTTAATGTACCAGACCGATAAAGATTAAGAAGTCTGATAATGTCCCGAGTTAGTAAAGATGTGGCAAAATGGGTGCATTTAAAAAATATTTAGGAAATTCCCCGGCGGTCCAGTGGTTAGGACTCCCTGCTTCCACTGCAGGGGGGGCACAGGCTCGATCCCTGGTCGGGGAACTAAGATCCCGCATGCCGTGCAGTGCGGCCAAAAATTTTAAAAATAAAAAAATAAAAGATAAAAAATATTTACTTGGCACCTACTGTATGCCAAGTACTAATGCTAAGCGCTACGGATACTCAGGGCAAGTGAACTGTCCACTGCAGTCAAGGGGCTAACACTATTGGAGAGCCTTTCTGGATGGCAGTCTGACAGTGTAATTAGAGAGGAGTTTGAGGATTGTGTGTTAAGAGTATAAATTTTTAAGTTAAGTGCTTTATAAACAATTATACACATTTTAAAGGCTCTTTCTACCTCAACAAATAATCTTTCAACTGCCCTCTGCTGCCTGAGTGGCAAGGTGATCCCTGGCCTCTGCAACAACGTCTCAGTTAATAATGGGTATACCCTCTGACCAGCAATTCCTCTGCAGGATGTGTATCCTAGTAATCTAAGCAGATAAGAACAGTTACACATGTCCTAGGATTGCAGCAATGTGGATAAAAACAAAACCCTGGAAACAATTTCAATGTTTAAACATCTTTGGTACATGCATATGATGCGATATTATAAAGTCCCTAAAAAAATTACAAGTATGTACTGCCATGGAAGAATGTTCCCATTATAAGAGAGGACGATTAAATGGTATGATTCCATTTACCTTAAAAACTACATATACACATAAGTTTACATACGCATAAAGAATCTGGCAAGATAACAATAATAGAGGTTAGCTCTGGGTGAGTGGTATGGAGAAGTGTT